TCTTTCCTGTGAAGCCCCCAGGCATAATACAAATGTTAATAAAATTTGTATGCCTCTTCCCCTGTTAATCCGTTTTTGTCAGTTTAGCTGTTATTTTTATATTTTTTCATTTTGCCCATTTTTGTGATTTATACAAGTCAACTCATATTATTTATATTTTTATGAGACTTTCTTAGTCAACATGATGTTTATGGAATGGATCCGTATGGATGCATGCATCTGTAGGTCATTCATTTTCCCCCTTAGCCAACATGTCATGCATATATGCCTTCTCTCTAAGGTGATTGTGAACTTTGGGAGCAAGGAACATGTTTTCTATAATGCTGCTCTCAAGGCATTCTTAGTGGCATTTATGACTTGTTCTTTGAGATTCTTAGCTGTCTTTTTAAAATATCTAAATTGGAGGAGAAAAGATGGAGGAGAATGTCCAAAGCGTTATTGAGATTTTGTACCGAGCTCACCCTTCACCCACATTGAGCCCTCAGCCCAAGAAATGGCCCTAAACTGCCCTGTGAGAGATTTAATTTGGATAATTACAGTTGGGTATGTATGGTGTGCCATGTGCTCTGTCAGTTCCTTTACATGAATTATTCTTTGTAATCCTCAAAACAAGCCAAATGAGGAGGTGTATTAGCTTGCTAGGGCTTCCGTAACAAAGCACCCCAAGCTGGGTGGCTTAAATAACCGAAATGTATTGTTTCATAGTTTTGGAGGCTAGAAGGCTGAGATGAAGGTGTCAGGAAGGTTGGTTCCTTCTGAAGAAGGTGAGGCAGAATCTGTTCCATAGCTTCTGGTGGTTTGCTGGCAATCTTTGGCATTCCTTGATTTCTAGATCTCTGCTTTCATCTTCACATGCTGTTCTCCCTGTGTGTGTGTCTGTGTCCATATCTCCCCTTTTTATAAGGACAACTGGATTTTTAGGGGGCCCGTCCTATTCAAGTATGACTTCATCTTAACCGATTACATCTGCAATTATCCTATTTCCAAATAAGGTCACATTCTGAGGTACTGGGGGTTAGGACTTCAACATATGGACTTCGGTTGTGGATGGGGGAGGCACACAATTAAGCCCTTAACAGGGAGATATTATTTTCTCCATTTGAAGATAAGGAGGTAGGCCTAGCGAGGTTATGTTCACTTGCTGAAGTGGAATGGCTAGGGACCCCAGGGTTAGTACGGTAACCTGGTGGTTCTGGGGTGGGAGGAAATGGAGGCAGTGCAGGTCCCCAGGAGCTACGGGGATGCTCTGGTGACCCAGATCATTGGCAGTCACTCCATAAAGCTGTTTAGATGAGAGGTAATGGGGTGAGCTTTAGAATTAGTGCAATCTGCCGCTCACTAGCTATGTGCTCTTAGGAAAGTTATTTAAGCTCTCACCTTATTTAAGTCCCACCGCTTCAGCTGTAAAATGAGATAACACCCACCTTGTGCAGTTATGCAGATTAAAGGGCACAGGGCAATGGGTGAGAGACGTAGTGATCATCAGAATTGATACCTATCCTCTCATCCCAGCCACAACAAATGGAGCTCGGGTCTGCATGCAAATTTCCTACATTTGGGGCCATTTTTTTGTTTTGTTTTGTTTTGTATACAGTAAAAAAAACACATAACATAGATTTACCCTCTTAACAATTTTTAAGTCCACATTTTAAGTCCACAATGTGCACATTGTTGTACAACAGATCTCTAGAACTTTTTCATCTTGCATGACTGAAACTCTATACCTATCGAAAAACTTCCCATTTTCCTCTCCCCCCAGCCCCCAGCAACCACCATTCTCCTTGCTGTTCTATGAATTTGACTACTTTAGATACATTACATAAGGGGATTCATACAGTATTGGTCTTTTTGTGATTGGCTTATTGCATTTAGCATAATGTCCTTAAGATTCATCCATGTTATAGCATATAACAGGATTTCCTTCTTTTTTTAAGGCTGAATGATATTCCATTGTATCTATATGCCACATTTTCTTTATCCATTTGCTCACTGATGGACATTTAGATTCCTTTTACATCTTGACTGTTGTGAATAATGCTGCAATGAACATGGCAGTGCAAGCATCAATTCAAGATCTTGCTTTCAAATTTTGGGGATGTATGTCCAGGAGTAGGCTTGCTGGGTCATATGGTAATTCTATTTTTAATTTTTTGAGGAACCCCCATACTATATTCCATAGTGGCTTCACCATCCTCCAGTTCAGGCCCATTTTAATTAATTTAATTTAGATAATTAAGCACAACCCTTGACGAGAAAAGTCATTTGAGTGGGAATTGGGGTGGGAGATGGTGGTGGAAGGGTCAGAAAGGAGGGGAGCAAAGGCAATCTAGAGAAAGGCTTCAGCACCAGCTGTCTGCCTCTCAGGGTATTTCTCAAGGGGGTAAGAGCACTACTGGCCTTTAGGGCTGGACACTAAATGCCTCTCGAGCCACTGTCCCATGCATTACAGGAAGGTTACCAAGACATTAAATGTCAGTCATACCCCCAGTCGTTGTGCAACCGAAAACACCATTTCCAAACTCTCCCCTACGGATGGTCTGAACCCTGCTTGAGAGCAATTGGAGGTTCCAACAGGCCCCAGGCTACATATTGTCTCTGGAAACCCCACGGCACCCAGTGCAGGGGTAAGCCCACTGCTGGTGCTCAAATAACCCTTCATGATTGACTGACTCTAGAATTCCTCTGTACACATCCTTCCTCACAGCTGGACTTCTCCAGCTCTATCTTCCATATTCTCCCCTGGGAGAAGCTGGTGTAATTTCAAGGATACTTAAGGGAGGAGGGGATAGTTCTTAGCTTGGAACATAGCACCAGGAGTCTCTTCAAAAGCACTTAGTAATCCGAGATGCCACTACACACCTATTAGAATGGCCAAAATCCAGAACACCAAATGCTGGCAATGATGTGGAGCAACAGGACCTTTCATTCATTAGTGGTGGGGATCCAAAATGATGCAGCCACCGTGGAAGACAATTTGGCAGTCTCATACAAAACTTAACCTACTCTCACCACACAATCAAGTAATCGTGCTCCTTTTTATGCACTCAAAGGAGGTGAAAATTTATGTCCACACAAAAACCTGCACATGGTTGTTTATATCAGCTTTATTCATAATTGCCCAAACTTGGAAGGAACCAAGATATCCTTCTGTAGGTGAATAGATAAACTGTGTTACATCCAGACAATGGAATGTTATTCAAAATTAAGAAGAAATGAGCTATCAAGCCCTGAAAAGACAAGGAGGAAACTTAAATGCATACTACTAAGTGAAAGAAGCCAATCTGAAAAGTCTACCTTGTATATGATTCCAACTATGACATTCTGGAACAGGCAGAACTATGGAGATAGTAAAAAATCAGTGGTTGGGACTTCCCTGGTGGTGCAGTGGTTAAGAATCTACCTGGCAGTGCAGGAGACACGGGTTTGAGCCCTGGTCCGGGAAGATCCCACATGCCGCAGAGCAGCTAAGCCCGTGCGCCACAACTACTAAGCCTGTGCTCTAGAGCCCGTGAGCCACAACTACTGAGCCCGTGTTCCGCAACAAGAGAAGCCACCGCAATGAGAAGCCTGCGCACCACAACGAAGAGTAGCCCCCGCTCACTGTAACTAGAGAAAGCCCGCACGCAGCAACGAAGAGCCGAAGCAGCCAAAAATTAAATAAATAATAAATAAATAAATTTATTTTTAAAAAAAAGATCAATGGCTGCCAGGGGTTATGGTAGGGGGGGATAAATAGGCAAAGCACAGAGGATTTTTAGGGCAGAGAAACTACTTTGTATGAAACTATAATGGTGGATACATGTCATTATCTGTTTGTCCAAGTCCATAGAATATACAACACCAAGAATGCACCTTGGACTAATGTCAACCTTGGATTCTGGGTGATAATAATGTATCAGCGTAGGTTCATCAGTTGTAAGAAATGTACCACTCTGGGGGGCGGGGTGTTGATAATGGGGGAGGCTATATGTGTGTGGGGGGCAGGGCGTTATGGGGAGCCTCTATTACTTCCTCTCAATTTTGCTGTGAACCTGAAACTGCTCTGAAAAACAAAGTCTATTAATATATGTACCTATTTTTAAAACCCTACTCAATAAATAAGGTTGCCAGAAATAAACACCTTGGGCCAACAACTCCCTGCCATCATCTCCGTTTGCATTTTCCAAGCTTCTGACGCCTGAGACGTCTTATAACACAAAGTAGAGGGCTGGGAAACCCCAAGTGAAGTTGCAGTATCACTCAGAGATTTGTGTTTGAACCGCCATACAGAATTTAGCACACTTTGGGTGTTTCAATATAGTGATGCCAACCACTGGTACTGACGTGACAGGTCAGTGTTTAGTCCTCCCTCTGGGAGGAACTGCCTTCTGAGTTACATTTTCTCCTTTCTGCTTTAGTGATAAGTCTGAAGTATCATACTGAGTCAGTATTATAAAATGGAAGTTGTTTGACCCAAACGATTTATCCATTTATTGACCATAGATTAATTGAGTCAATAAGAGCCTAGTGCATTGAATCTGGTTTAAGTGTTGGAAATTTTCTAATCCTCAAATGCCAGGGGTTTGCAAAGAAAGAAAAATGCAACTATTACTGAGTGAAAGAAAAGCTCTGTCCCTCCAGATGCCTGCCTGGGTCTAGCATAGTGGCTTGCTTTCCTTTCAGATAAATTGTCATTGAAGCAAAACCAAGATAGGAGAAATGTGAACCCCCTCTCTTTCAACACTACCCATTGTGTTCAAATTCATAAGAAAGTTAAACGGCCGCCTTCCTCTTTAAGAAAATATGAAAGCTGTCGCTTTGAAATAGAATTCATTGCCCTCAGACTTTAAGCGCTATCTCTGTTCAGCTCCAACCGGATCTGCAGCCCCCTTCCAAAAAGAAAAAAGAAAAAAATTCTTTCTTCTCAGTGGTGAAAATTACCCCACCTGGAATGCACTCTTCAAAAGGCTCACGAAGCCTGTTCATATGAATGAAGCTGCTTTCTCGAGGGCAGAGGCGGACGCTGCCCTCTTGGGGCGCTTAGCCAACCTGGGAAAAGGAAGTCGCCTCGGAGGGCAGGGTAGCTGCTGAGGCCGCTGCACACGCTGCCTGCCGGCTCCAAGATGCAGTATCTAGACTCCAAGGAGCTCCTGACGGATGAAGAGGATGATGTTTTTTGTGAAGGTAAACACGTCATTCTGGCAGGAGCCTTTCTGATCTACTTTGCTTAGCTTTGACACTGTTGGAAACTGTGGCCTGGCTTGGGTAAGGGACTTGAGGACTTTGAAAGCATCCTGGATGGGATGGCACCCCAGAAGTACACTGCAGAACCCGGGACAAGGGAACTGAATGGTTCCTCCAAATAAATTTTTTTTTTTTTTTAAAGTCATGACCAAAGGTTTTGTTTAGGGTAGAAAATAGTACTAAAATTTCCCCTTGTCCCTCTTTTGTGCTCTCTTGTCTAACACCTTAAGGAAATAGTCTTTCTCCGTGCTCAGCACACAGCAGGACTGCAGGGCAGCAGCTGGACAGATGGGCCGCGGATGGTGCCCCACGGTGCCATATTGCTTTGCTCTGCACTACCCACCTGTCCTTCTTTTCTCTCTCTGCCTTTGGGTCTTGCCCTCTCCACTCTTCCGTGGACTTATTTGGCACCCCAACTCTGTCTCAGTTGCCTTTCCCTTTTCCTCTTCTTCCAGGCTGGGAGGCAGCAGCCATGCTAGCTTCTGACATCAACTGCACCGCTTAGGTTTCCCCAGGTAGACCGGTGTTGTGGGATTTGACTGTAAGGGTTGCAATTTGAAATGGCTAATCTTGTAATCTACAGATGCCTTGTAATCAAATGCTGCCTATGAGGTTGGGCTGTAGGCAAGAGCTTTTCAAGAATTTGGAACTGTCTAAAGAAGTGGTATTCTGGACTCGGGACCTCATAAACTTGTTGGTTTCCGCAAGAACCGTATCTGGTAGTTTTTAAAAAACTCTTATCAGGTAATTTTTTAAAGGAGCTCTAGTAAAATTTTTTGCAGTTACCCAAGTAGTACAAGTTCATTGAAGACAAATGAAAGAGTATAGCATAATAAGAATCCCTTGTAATCTAGTCATCTAGGAGGTTACCATTACTGATGTCTGTCTTCACATTACTTTTGTTGTAGCCTCAGAAATATTTAAAACCATAATTTGGGTTTTTATCACAATTTCAACCAGCTTAAAGAATATCTCCCCCAGCTTCCTTGCTGTTTGGCATGTTCTCAAGCTGTTGCTCTACTTGGTTGACAGGTAGAGCCACTGTGACTCGAAGTTTGATCTTAGGCTCCATTCCTCAGCTTTCACTTCTACTTAAAGATGTTTCCTCTGTGGGCTTCCCTGGTGTTACAGTGGTTGAGAGTCCGCCTGCCAATGCAGGGGACACGGGTTCGTGCCCCGGTCCGGGAAGATCCCACATACCGCGGAGCGGCTGGGCCCGTGAGCCATGGCCACTGAGCCTGCGCGTCAGGAGCCTGTGCTCCGCAATGGTAGAGGCCACAACAGTGCGAGGCCCGCGTACCGCAAAAAAAAAAGATGTTTTCTCTGTGTATACATACTTAGTTACTCCCTTCAGGAATTAGAACATGTTTACAACTAGGAAGATAAGCCTAAATGGGACAATTTGGTAATTATCTACCCAACCTCCAAAACGCCATGCCACATTTCTTTCCCCCAAAGGGATTTTTCCCTTTTACCAATGGCTACTGTGCTAAAGAGTGCCACCTATAGACGGATAGGTGAGCGGCCCCACTCTGAGGGAAAGAATTAAGACCTCAGCAAAGCAGGTCTTGATGAGTAAGATCTCTCTCTTGAGCATTCATGATTATCAAGGTGATTATTTCAACCTCAACAGCACGGTAAAGAGTCAAGTTGGGAGTCAGACAAGATTCCGATTCAAATTCTCATTTTGCTTCATATTACCTATGTGATTTAAGCAAGGTAATTGCTAAACTAAACCTCTGTTTCTTCAGTGGTGAGATGGGACAATAATACCTATTGGGTTGTACAGGGTATCTTCATAATAGATTCATAACATTTGCATTGTACTTCACAGGTGATATGCTTTGTACTTTCCAGACTGATTATCTCATTTAACTTAATCTCTAAAGATTAGAGAGAGAATCCTTGCAAGTCCAACATCCAGCATATTTGTATTCAGTTTTCAGAGTCATGGATCATGTTTGCCTATTTATGTGAAAGCTTGTCCGGGTAGTTCCTTCATTTTAAGTAAGCTCCCTGCAGGGTAATAGTCAAGAGCTTCCTCTCCAGACTTGCACTGCCTGGGCTTTGCCACTTAATTCACTCTATGACTTTGAGCTGGTTACTTAATCTCTCTCTCAGTTGACTCACTTATAAATGGAGTGCTAACTTCCTAGGATGGTGTGTGGATTAAATATTGTTACAGGGAAGGTGCTTAGAATAGTGTCTCAAACACGGTAAGCACTCAATAAATACTAATTCTGACTATGTGTGCACAAAAATGGGTTCTTAGAATAGGTTAGAAAGCAATGTATGAAAGGAATTCTGCACAGAGTTTTTTCACATGTCTGGTTAACCTAGTATATTCAGAATAGGACTTATTACAGAAAATCAGTTCATAAACCACTTTTCAGATGTATGCCTGGGTGGAAACAGCACTGGACAAGTTGTCCAGAGCCTGGATTGTAGCCCTGCACCTGCTGTTATGTAGATGTAGGATCTTGGGCAAGTCACTTACTTAATCTTGCTGAGCCTCATTTTTTACCTAAAACAAGAGTGTTGATTACACAATCTCTCAGATCTCATTTGAAAAGCTCCAGCATTCTATTACTTCATCTTTTCTGCACAGTGGCATACATCTACCTAGAAGAGTTCAAGCTTGCTCTAGCTTTCCTCCATGCTTTAAACTCACTTTAACATGCCTAAGAAAGCAGAAAGCTTTCGGTCCAGTGAGTTTCCTCTAACATAAAGGAAGGAAGATGCCTAGGAGCTTGTTACCAAGGCAACCATATTTCCTTGCAATGGCCACATTTTTAAAGGACCCTTTCCCCCTAAAGAAACAAATTTAGAATTTAGGTCCATTTGGTTAAAAGTATATATAATCCATTTAGGTTTATGGACCACATAAAGATCTGGGAAGAAGAAACTGAGTCATGCTCACAATATATTTTTTTAACTGCCTTTCTGAGATCCTGTTTGCTTCAGCTGTTGTTTTCTGTGGTTAAAGAAAATGTTAAAGTTCACGAAATTAAGAAGCATTGGTGTGTAACTTTGCTCTTGTTCTAGAGGAGCGTTGCATATGATTAGTGAGAGGGAGAGGAAGAGGGAGAGAGAGAAAAGCAGTCACCCACCTACCCACCGGAAACCCCAATATTTTATTCCTCTTTCTCTCCCTCCCTCCCCCACTCCCACCTCAGGTTGGCTTTCCAAATATCACTATGTATTTATTTATTCTCATATCACCATGCCATTTAGAAAATGGTTACTATCCAGTAGACTTTATTCCTTCTTGGGGGAATGATTGGTTTGATTACCAAGCTATTGAAAAACCAGTGATTGGAATTAGAGGGCTTCTTTCCCATTGTTGTTTCAAACTTATCAAATTAAAGGGCTTTCATCTGTTTTGTCACTGTGCCTTCTTGACAGCCAGTCTGGTGTATGTTAGTAGAAATAGCTGGATGGATAATAATAGTAATGATAACTCTAACAATTATGATGGCGATAATAATAATAGAAAAAAAGTGTCACGCACAGTGGAGGCCCTTGGCCAGCTTTCAAGAACAGAACAGGATTCGTGTGTGGGAGGAAGCAGTTCCCCAGGTGGTGGTCAGCCAGTAGGTTAGCAGTCAGAATGACTCCTTGGCACAAGTTAAAGTTGCAGTCCTTCTTTCCTTAGAACCACAAGCCCTCACTGCCTTTGTTTTCAGCAGTGCTTGGTAATCTGTGGTCAAGTGCAATGATTAGAATAATAAAACTGCACGAGTTCACGGTCATGTGTGCAAAGTATTTCTCAGGCTTATATAGTCCCTGGACACTTACATGTCTTTTAAAATCTTGCTTCTAGAAAGACCACAGGAAACTGCAAAGCTTTGCCAGACCTTCGAATGTTCTGGTACAGTGCAGCATAGCATAAGACTACTTCTCCTGTCCTGGATTACAGTATCTAGGAAAGTTGTTTCAAACTCCCCAAAGGAGAAGAACTGTCCCAGATAGAGGGAAACTCAAAGGGAAGTCCACTTGACCATTAGCTGCCTGTCGCTCTTAAAGAGACTGACAGAGGCTTGAAAAAAAATGCCACACCCTTTCGAACCAAACCTCTCTCCTTTCCCCAAGCCAAGTAAGTTAGCATTTTTTTCCCTTTCAATGGGATCTTCAGCTCAGAGAGAGCAAAAAAATTGCAAAAGTTTTAACAAAAAGAGAATTGTAAGTATAGAATAGATGCCCACTTTGTCTTTCTGTGTAAACTGCTTATGAAGCCAAGGTAGATTTTTTTTAATGGGTAAACAATTATGCAACCTGTTGTAATCTGGCATGTTTTGATATTTACTGAATTACATTTGCCCTTTCCAAAATTAAAAGAAAGAAGGAAGAAGAGATTAAATTAAGATTATGTACAAAGCCAATAAATCCTGAAAGTTCAGACTGGTTAAGTCCATACCCTCTATGGAAAAAGTGTTGAGAAAGAGAACATAAAAGTGTATGTGCTTTGGTTAGAGAGAGAGTTGGACCTTTTTGTTTGATTATGCCACATTTTATAGCACGTAGATATAATAATTGTTATTTAGCTATGTCAGCCCTTTCTCAAAAACATCCATGTCTGGGGTTCTCAAGTGGACCCAAGTAATGGGATTGGAGACGGGACAGGAAGAGGCTGCCTTAGTTTCCTGGGTTGAAAAAAGTTGGCCACTCTTTGCTTTCGCAGTTTGCAGAGATTGCTTGGGTCAATTTCCATTCCTGGGATCCTGGATAAACGTTTTGGTTGGAAGTTGTTTTCCCTACTTTATTTGTCACAGGGTCTGGAGCAGACACAGACCTCCCCACAATATTTCATGCCTGTGTGACCTATGCCTTGGATTACTGCAAAACATTCCCTTCCCATAGATGTCTAGGAAGCTTACTTTGGCTGGTGCCAAAGAGATGGTGTCATTTCAGGGGCACAAGCTAAAATAGCACATTGCACT